GACTAAAAAGTAGAAAATAATATTTCTCAGTCCCATAGAATTTGTTTTGATAACTTTTGATTTTGAAATTTTAGCAAAAGTCGTTATAACCAATTTATGAGATTGAAAATGAAAAGCGTGGGGCGCATGCAATACAAAGCATTATATTTAATTGACAATAGGCAAACTACATAACATAGACCTAAAATTTCTTCAGCGAAAGTACAAATTTGAGATCGATTTTAAGCGGTCGTTATTCATATATCCACATACATATGAACATATATTACCCTTCATATCAATTCAGGTGGCTATTATATGGGCCCCACGCTTTTCATTTTCAATCTCATAAGTTGGTTATAACGACTTTTGCTAAAATTTCAAAATCAAAAGTTATCAAAACAAATTCTATGGGACTGAGAAATATTATTTTCTACTTTTTAGTCCATTTATAAAAGCGTTGTATATTAAAAAGTTTTTTTTTTATATTATTTATTTGTTTTAATATATCTCACTGATATAATCGCCGTTTGTAATGGTGCTTATTCTATAACGAAAGAACTTCCTGTAGGTACGCATGTTTAACCATGCGCTTTCAAACTCATGAAACTCTGTAGCTACATTATTTGCGATTTGAGATTTGGGATGATGCAGGGTGAAGAGAAGTGGAATAGATGGGGTTTTTTTTTTGTGAAGTGGAATGAAGAGTAGGTAAGAAGTTTACTGCGAGGTGGTGCTATTTTCGTTGTAGGTCGGAAGTAGGACCAATTTTTCAATTGGCCTTCTGATTTCTCCCTTAGCGGTTTCGATATCGACTACTCTTACTCGGTTGTCGGAACCTGGGCTTGACTATTCTTCCCAATCTCCATTCGTTTGGTGGCAGGTTTTCCTCTTTAACGACGACAAGGTCTCCTAGCTTTAAGTTGGTTTGTCGATGTTTCCAGTTGATGCGTTTCTGCATTTCGGTGAGGTATTCCATTTTCCATCTTCTACAGAATGTCTGGTGTAGGACCTTCAGTTTCTGCCATCGATTTACGATTGAGGCAGGACTTTCGTTTACATCGATTTCGGGTGGGGCAAGAAGATGCCCGCCGACTAGGAAATGACCTAGGGTAAGAGGCTCCAGGTCCGACGGTTCGTTTGAAGAGGGGCTTAGTGGTCGTGAGTTGAGACAAGACTCAATACGGCATAAGAGTGTGCTGAACTCTTCAAAAGTATATTTGTGGTCGGACGCAACCTTTTTAAAGTGGGTTTTGAAACTTTTCACCCCAGCTTCCCACAAACCGCCCATGTGAGGGGCCTTAGCGGGTATGAAATGCCACTCTAAGGTTTTATGGCTGTATTTAGTGAGGGTGCTATTGCGTTCCTCAGCTAAAAATGCCTTAAATTCCGCCCGTAAAGATCGTGAGGCTCCGACAAAGTTAGTACCATTGTCGGAGTAAACAGTTTTCGAGAATNTAGCGGGTATGAAATGCCACTCTAAGGTTTTATGGCTGTATTTAGTGAGGGTGCTATTGCGTTCCTCAGCTAAAAATGCCTTAAATTCCGCCCGTAAAGATCGTGAGGCTCCGACAAAGTTAGTACCATTGTCGGAGTAAACAGTTTTCGAGAAGCAGACGAAAAGACACACGTAGCCTTTTGACATGCGACATCCTCTGCCCCGGTAGGACTTGATGTCGAACGGGCCGGCGAAATCCACTCCCATGTTTGTGAATGCACGGGAAATGGTTTGTGCGTTCCCATAAGTTGAGTTCGCGACCGTTTCTTGTGGATCGTGCTGACCTTGCAGTTATGTTTGACGGACCGTATCAAGTTTTTCACCCTAGGAATCCAATACTGCGATCGGATGAGTCGCAGTATAAGCTGGTTTTCTCCGTGCACGGAAATTTTATGGATAAACTGGACAAAGAGACGGGACAACCTACAACCATACGGAAGAATGATAGGATGACATTCATTGTAGGACAGATCGCAAGATGCGCTCAGACGACCACCAGCCCTCAGAATCTCATCTTTGTCGATGAACGGGTTAAGAGGCAGGATTTCACTTTTTCCGTCGATGGATTTTCCAGATTTTAACCTTCTATATTCTTCGCTGTAATATTGTTTTTGACAAATTGTTATTAAGCGTTGGGTCGTTGGTTTCGTTGGACGAAATTGAACGAGACTCCGCTTTAAAGGAAGATTTTGTTTTGGGATTGATTCTTTGATAGAATCTCATAATATAAGATATAACTCTCAAAGCCCGTGACAAATCAGAAAATCGATCGAGAATGTCGTGAAAGTCATTTACTTTTGTTGTTGCATGAACATGCACCCTTTTCCCTTCATCTCGACTAGTCTTCTTGTAACCAAGAAGGACCCTGCCACCACAAGGAGTTGTTGACTACATCACTAGCCGAGAGTCCTCTGCTGGCTAGATCCGCTGGGCTTGAGGCCGAATCCACGTGGCGCCAATTTTTATTTCCTACCTTGTCTACTAGCTTTGTTATCCTGTGGGCAACAAATGTTGACCACGAACACGGAGGTTTTCGAATCCAAACTAAAACTATCGTTGATTCCGTCCAAAGATTCACTTTCACCTGAACAAGATTAAGGTTTTCAACGACTATTTCAACTGTTTCTGCTAGTAGTACTGCACCGCTCCAATCTGAGCGAAGAAATTGTCTTTACGGGGGCCACTCTTGTTTTTGCCATGAGTAAATTGATAAAGATTGATTCTGCATGATAATTTTGGCGACGATTATAGCAGGCGCGAGCCAACCAAGCGGATCAAACAGTTTGGCAATAGCTGACAGTATTGCCCTTTTGGTTATGGCGTCGCGATTCTCTATAGGTTTCGCAGTAAAGTAGAAATAGTCTGAGTGAGCATTACACCTGATTCCTAGAGCTTTTACCGTGCTGGTATCTTCAAACTCTAGAAAGTCTTCTTTCAGAAGATCTTGCTTTGGTATTCCTTGTAGGATTTCGCTGCAGTTGCAGTCCATTTCCGTAATGGAAAGCCCGCCGAGTTTAGCGCTTGGGAGATTTCGTCTCGAGCTCTTATTGCAGAGTCGATGCTATGTCCACCTGCCAGTACGTCGTCGACGTACATATATTTCCTCAAAATGTTAGATGCTAGTGGATAAGAGCTCATCACATCGTCCGAGAGTTGATGTAATGTCCTTATGGCGAGATAAGGAGCACAGTTAATTCCGAAATTACCGTTTTCAGTTCGTAAAGACTGAGAGGCTCCTTTGGGCTGTTGCGGAAAGCGATTCGTTGGAATTGTGTTTGGCTGTCCTTTACCCAAATTTGCCGATACAGTTTGTCAATGTCACTGTTGAAGACGTACTTTTACAATCTCCAGCGGAGGATGGGTATGGTTATATCGGCCTGTAGTATTGGACCTGGGAGTAGAACATCGTTTAAACACACGCCGTTAGCGGTAGGGCATGAGGCGTTGAACACCACTTGGACCTTAGTGATGGTACTTTCTTCCTTCAAGACAGCGTGATGCGGTAAAAAATAACAATCTGTCGCGTTTGCCGACACGTTGTTTACTTTCGACATATGTCCTAACGTTTCGTATTCCGTTAAGATGCGGTTATATTCTGTTTCAAGAACAGGTTTTTTCGCTAGTCGTACCTCGTTCCGGTAGAACTGCGAACACGCACTCTTCAGCGAAGGCCCGAGGCACACAGCTTTTGGAAACTCCTTTTTGAAGGGTAGAGAGACAACGTATTTTCCGTCAACGTTTCTCGTAGTTGTTGCCTTGAAGAGCTCTTCGCAATACGTATCATCGTCATTGAGAATTCTCTTTCTGGGGATGTCTTCTAATTCCCAAAAAGCGGTCAACTGCTTGTCCAGATTAACTTCATTGTAAAAGGACACGATATTTTTGGCTGGACTCGATGCTTCCGCACAGCCAGTTAAAATCCATCCGAACACGGTTTCTTGGGCGAGAAGCATTTTTAACACGTTCTTTTTTATGCCGCCTAAAATTATCTAGGGATATGTCTCCTCCGAGGACGAGATCAACTGGTTCATTAATGAAGAACCTTTTATCTGCCAGGACCAATTCAGGGAATGCTTGCCAAGTCATTGCGCTTACTTGGCAAGTCGGCAGATCGCCTGTTAGTTTTGGTAACACCAGTACAACAGCATCTATGCTTATCAACGGGTCTGGGGGCGACCGCAATTGAATGGTGCACGCTTCGTTTACCTTCGCAGATAGTGAGTTGTTGATGCCCCAAACTTGGGCATGCAAGCGTTTTAATGGCAGGTTGATTCTCCGTTTGAGTCCNGTTGTTGATGCCCCAAACTTGGGCATGCAAGCGTTTTAATGGCAGGTTGATTCTCTGTTTGAGTCTCTCAGTAATGAACGAGCACTCAGAACCAGAATCTATAAGCGCTCTAGCCGTAAAATTTACATCATTGTAGTGTATGCTAACCCGTGCTGTTCCCAACAAAACTCCTTTACTTGTATTTGCGTAACAAGAATTTACATTTGTAACCGATTTGATGTTTCCTTTTTCAGATTCGCGTCTTGATTGAGCCTGGTTTGGAGTAGATTCTACGTTACCCGATGGATCAGTTGTTGCTTTTGTCTGAATTGGCATATGGAGCAACTTGTGATGTCTTGAATGACAAGTGCTGTAGTTAAATGAGCTGGTACATCTTGAGACTGTGTGCCCAGCAGATAGACAATTCAAGCACCTGCGAATGCTCTTCACGTAATCTACTCGCTCCGTCGGCTTTAGACGCAAAAATCTGTCGCACTTTGATAGCTTGTGCGCATTGCTGTTGCACATTTTACATGTTGCCTTTGCTACACTGGCTTGAAAGGCGCCAAGCTTTTTTGCAGGCGTCTCTGCAGAAGTCAGAGAGCTTGGTGGTTTAGGTTTCGAAGCTATATCTCCCCTAATACTTGTGATGGTTTCCAGTGTTTGATACCGATTGGATAGGAATTTATCCATATCTACCCATTTGGAAATCCCAGTTTTATTTTCTATGGTTTGCTCCCATAGTGCCAGTGTCGTTTCTGGCAGTTTTGTCGAACACATATATGTGAATATTGCATCCCAATTTGAAACATCAATCTGATGACACTGAAGCGATGAGTTGCAATTATTAATGTCGCGGTGCAGTTTCTTGGTGGAGCTACCGCATTCACTCTCAACTGCGTTTAAATTAAATAATACCTTTAATTGATCATTGAACAGGATACGTTTATTTTCGTACCTGTCACAAAGACTTTTCCAGGCTGCACCAAAGCCATCGTTGGTTAATGGGGATCTCTGCACTATTTCCTTGGCCTCCCCTTGAGTTTTTGCCGGAGGTGATACAGCTTCTCAACTGGGGTAAGGCGCTTATTTAGAATATATATAGCCGTAAACATTTCCCTAAACAATGGCCACAAAAGATAAACTCCTTTAAAAACGTCTGTGTCACAAGGAGGGAGATGAATATTAAGCTTGCGACCTGACTTGTATTCGCTTTCCTTTTCAGTATTTGCTCTGAAAGATCAGCCATTGCTGCTTGGCACCGCAAAAAAATTTAAGTAGGTGCTTTTATACTTCTTTTTAACCGATGTCAGGTCTTTGGTTTCGAGCTCTTTTGATGCGCAAAGTTCATCATAAGACTCCTTTACCTTTTCCCACAGAGCCTTTAATTCCTCCTTTTGGAAAGCTAGAAGTGCTTTGTGCGCCCTGATGGCTGCATAGAGTTGTAGTCAGATTCAAATTCTGCTACTGAAACTGCCTGACGAATAAAGGTATCCATTTTTGACAACCAAAGACCACTCAATTGGACGCAAGAAAAGAAATTTGTCTGTAGTAATAGAAATCGCTGTTTTGTAGGAAAATATTGCCACTAACCGCTTGGCCCGAAATAAGGCTAGTTCTTATAAGAACAACAAAAGATAATTTGTATATTTAAATAACGATTTATTTATTTTCCAGCCAAGTAAGACTGTCGAATAAGTAATTACGTATGTGTATTTGCGTATATGCAAAAAAGTGCAAGTCACTCGCCACCCAACTTATCAAATATGTGATATACATACGTGTGTAAATAATTGATATTCACAATATGCAGTTTATTTAAAATTTCTGAAGAAGAAATTGTGTTTGTTCAAGCGCGGCTTTGATTTTATACAACCAACAAATAAATGGGCGAAACCACCCAGTGAAGTGATCAGTAATATGTACAAGCGCGCCACTAATAACACAGCCACACAAAAAAAAATTTGTGTTCTGACCCAAAGGTCTCACTATGTGTACGTTATGTTTTTGGGGTCGCTGAATCCGAATCCGAGGTCCATTTAACCCCATCAGTTCGGGGTTTTGATATAACCCCAGAAAACCAATATGGCGGACACCTTTTGGAAAAATTCATCGGATTCCCTTGAAACTCGTTACTCGGGGGTTTTCGGGGTCGCTAATTACGAATATGATATTATTTTTTCAAAATTCAAAATGGCGGATCCAATATGGCGGACACATTTTTGTAAAATTCATCATATTCGCTTGAAAATCGTTACTCAGGGGTTTTGGGAGTCACCGATTACGAATTTACGCCATTTTGAATTTTCGAAAACTGACATCAAATTCGTAATCGGTGACTCCCAAAACCCCCGAGTAACGATTTTCAAGCGAATCCGATGAATTTTACAAAAATGTGTCCGCCATATTGGATCCGCCATTTTGAATTTTGAAAAAATAATATCATATTCGTAATTAGCGACCCCGAAAACCCCCGAGTAACGAGTTTCAAGGGAATCCGATGAATTTTTCCAAAAGGTGTCCGCCATATTGGTTTTCTGGGGTTATATCAAAACCCCGAACTGATGGGGTTAAATGGACCTCGGATTCGGATTCAGCGACCCCAAAAACATAAA